TTTTTTGTTTTTGTTTTTCGAGACAGGGTTTCTCTGTGTAGGTTTGTGCCTTTCCTGGAACTCACTTGGTAGCCCAGGCTGGCCTCTAACTCACAGAGATCCACCTGGCTCTGCTTCCCGAGTGCTGGGATTAAAGGCGTGCGCCACCACCGCCCGGCGTGGAATATTATTTTAAGCTATGTTACTTTTGTTTATGTTGTTAAGCTATGTTACATTTGTTTAACTCTCTGAAGCTGTGTTAATGTGCCTGTCTAAAACACCTGATAGTCTAATAAAGAGCTGAAAGGCCAATAGTGAGGCAGGAGAAAGGATAGGTGGGGCTGGCAGGCAAAGATAATATATAGAAGGAGAAATCTGGAAGAAGATAGAAGGATCAAGGAACAAGAGAGGAAGGAGGAGGTCTTCGGGGGGCCAGCCACCTAGCCACCCAGCTATACAGCCAGACACAGAGTAAGAAGGAAAAAGAAGGTACCCTGAAATAGAGAAAGATAAAAGCCCTGAGGCCAAAGATAGATGAGATAATTTAAGAAAAGATGGCTAGAAACAAGCCAAGCTAAGGCCAGGCATTCATAAGTAAGAAAAAAATCTCTGCATATTTATATGGGAGCTTAGTGGTGGACCCCCAAAGAGCAAAAACAACCAAAAACATTTTTGGTGTTCCTATGTGGGGCTAGAGTAAAAAAAAAAATCTAACAACAGAGGGGCATTGCATGAAGCTATGAAGGTAATGTTTGGATTGCCTTGGAGAACCCAAGATGTTAGAGATGCCAGAGTTATGGGATATCTGCTGAGGAGAGCTACCAACAGGGAGTAGAACTAGCCCAAGAGATAGAAGTATGTTGTAGTCAACAAAGCTGAAAGGAGTTGTGTAGTTGGTGGATCTATTTTGATTTTTGTTTTGTGTTTTCACTCTTTGACTCTTTGGGATCCTACCACCCAGCTCCCAAATAAATACACACAGACTTATTCTTACTAATAAATACCTGGCCTAATCTTGGCTTATTTTTAGCCAGCTTTTCTTTTTTTATTAAGGAATTTTTTATTCATTTTACCAGCCAGCTTTTCTTAACTTAAATTATTCCATCTACCTTATGCCTCTGGGCTTTTAACTTTTTCAATTTCTGCATATCTTTTCTTTCCTTCTTATTCTGTGTCTGGTTGTATGGCTAAGTAGCTGGGCCCTGGTATCCTTTTGAAGCACAATTCTAATTAATAAAATCCAGGAGTCAGATATTGGGAAAAAGCTGAAAGATCAGAGTAGCAGAGCAACAGCCACTAGAGACTTCTTACATCTATGAATTCTCAGGCCTCTATGGTTAACTAGTGGCTGGCTCCACCCTCTGATCTCCAGGTAAGCTTTATTTGTCAGAACACAAAGTATCACACATCCCCCCCCCTTTTTTTTTAAATAAAAAGTGAAGGGTTTAAGTAACATAGAAAAACTATATACAATAAGTACAATAACTATGTGCAAATATATAAGGCAATAATTACATTAACAATGTCTGGTCCATTAGCATTTGACAAATTCAGAGAAATTACTCCATTATCTATCCTATCTTGGTTCAAAGTGTTGTACCTAATTCACTTTCTATCCTAACTTGAAGTACCAATCCAAAACTATCATTTTATATCTTTCAACTTTATACACTTTATACCTCTTTAGTGAGTTTCTTTTCTGAGTCTGGTAACAACAAAAACTATAACTATAGCTATCTAGTCTTCAACTCCATCATCCTGAGAAGAATACAATATTACCTGAGTAAATAGGAAGTGTACAGCAAACAACTTCCAAAAATAAGAAATGACAGAAACAGCTGGCTGCATGGACAGTCCCCCAAGGTTCCTCTGCAACATTGGGGTAGCCATCTTTGGCCTACAGGCCTCAACTATCTGATAGACTTATCTGTGAAGCAGGAATTTTAAAGGTTTGTCCTACCTTGTCTTGGCAAAGTTCTGTAGTCACTTTCTTTTGTGTCCTGCTTGTCCAATTTGGACAGCATACTGTCAGCAGTCGAGGCAAGAGCATTTTCTTACTCAGTGGCTAACTTTTTCCACAAAGAAAGTAAACTCCATGTGGAGTTTCTTTGATGCCCATCATCTTCTCTGAAGTAGACTGGTGCTACCAGAAGCCGACATGTCTCACTGTCATTGAAAAAAAAAAAAAGAACTTTGTTATTAAATCTTAAATGCCATATTCTGTAGGTCTCTGAAGTGTTTGAAGACCACTTGTCTATCTAAAATAAATCTGTTTGACCTTGAAAACGTACCTAACCTGACTAAATGTTTGATTGTAATAGATAACCACTAACCTGCATTTCTTTATTATCCTAAATAGTTTAGTCATAATTTCCAAGGACTAGAAATTTACATTATATTGTTAAATGAACTGTATGGATACAATACCTTGAACAAGAGTAGAAACATATGTACAGTATGTTCTAACTAAAATAACCTTAAATTTGTATCAATATAAAAATCTATATCAATGTAAAATATTTAAAACTAGTAGTTTCTCTTTTGGTTTGAAAATAGATTCAATAATCTACCTTTTAATGCCATCATTTCTTTAAGATATATACAGTGTAACAAAAATAATCTCAAATTTGTATCCATATACAAAAATCCAAGCCAAAGTAAAATATTTAACATCAGTAGTTGCTTTTTGGGTCTAAAAGTAGATTCAATAACTTACCTTTTTATCCTATTTCTATATACCTCCTTTTTCTTTTTAGAACAAAATCCCTGAATCTAATCTCCTTTGATCAGCGTTTTCCTGACCATTACTAATAATAACTTGTAACCACCACCACCCCAAATAATGATAAATATCCATAACCCACTAAAAGACCCAAAACCACCCACCCCACCTCTTGGAAATGTGAGCATTGTTGTGGAGACCCAGAGAGGTTTCCTAGTGAGAACTTACTGAGGGTCCGAGAATCTGAACTTGCTTTACCCAGCAGTGCTGCATAAGGGTATGGTCTGACCATGGGCATGTTTACCAGGTGTTTGGAAGGGTCTACACTTGGCTGTGCTGTGTGCTTTGATCTAGCAAGGGAAAGGTCTTTGCCCCGCCCCTTGGCATTGTTATAAAAAGCCCTTGTGAATAAATGGAAAAGGCCGTTGGGTACTGACCCAGGTCCTCCTGTACCTATCCTGTGTTTCTGTCTTTTTCCTCTTCACTGTCTTTCTATCTAATCTTTTCTTGTCCCTCTCTCCTCATAAGTACCCTTGAAAAGCGGGGAGCTGGCCTCCATACATTGTGTTCTTAAAATTACTTCTTGCTGTCTGGGGGTGATGGCATCTTTAGGGGACCCTGAAAAAAAATTGGGATAATTGTTGAGTCCTGGGAGAGTTAGCTGTATCATTTGTTGTCTAGTCTCTGTGCAATGGGAAAGTACAGGGCTTAACTGAAGTCCTGGCTAGAGTAGTCTGTGAGACTGGATCATCACAACCAGCCACCTTTAAAATGTCCCAAGCAGTTTGCAGTCCAAAGCTGATCTTTAGGTGGTGCTTGTCAGCTTAGTGGCATTACTATAGTCCAGGTGGAATCATTGTTGTGGGGTTCCATCATCTTTTTGGAGTCTTCAGAGATCACTGTTAGGAAAGTTTATCATTCACTGTAGAAAACTTAAACATCATTAATATCAAAACAGAAAGTTTAAATTTTAAGATGGTACTGTACCTAAAGAAACATTTTAAAGAGTCAAAATAAATTTGAGGGCTAAGAGATTTGTAACAATAATAGTCCCTCAATTTTGGTTACTTTCTGTCCCATACAGGTGGCTTTTCTGATAGGAAACAGAGATTCTGAATTTTCTTTTAACAACAATCTTAGGTTTAGAGAAGGAGAGAGTCATGCTCTAACTCCAAAGCCAGCTTTAATTTTTAATTGAACTGGGACTACAAATACACCATTTACATTATGTCTGCAGAGAACAGCAGAAATAAACATTTAGAAAGATTTATGAAATTTTATCCTGTCGGAAATGTGATATATCAAGAGTAAATAGGACAATTTACTCTTTTGCTTGGGATATTTTCTCTGGACGATTCATCCTCACGCCCCCCCCCCCATGTCTCATTTGTCCCGTGATCTTTAGATTCCTTAGCTGAATGCCATCATTCTCCTGGAAAGACAAAAACAAAACTCTGCCCCAACTCTAACTTTGGGGAGTTTCCCTTTTGGCAAGTTATATCTGATCAAATGAAAAGCATTTGTTACTCTTATGTTAGTTTAGATTAAATGATCATGGTGGTTAATGAACTATCACCTCTTCTAATCAGGAGGTCTCTTTTATTCTGATTTCTTCTGAAATTGTTTTATCTTCTAAAGCTGTTCTATCATCCAGAGCAATATGTTTTTTACAATAGCCATTGCATCTTTTACTTGCTCTGTGGAGGAGTTTCCACTACTGTGACAGGGAATGACTGAACCAAATTTGAAGTGGGGGCCTGCAAGAGGACCATTAAGGCTTTCCCGGTGGCAAAGGGTTATCTGTCTGTCCCTTGTTGATCTGCATTCATTGGTCCAATATTGGCCTTTGCCATACCTTCTGCATAATCCAGAAGGGAGGGGTCTTCTGTTTGGATTATTCCTAGAAATAACATTGTTTCTAGGAATGTCCTGTTTATAATCCATTTTTAAGTGACCTTGTTTGCCACAATTAAAATACTTTTCATTTTTATTTTTCTTCAAGTCTCTAGAAATCACCTCTCCTATTCAAGTATTGTCATGGCTATGAGATTCAATATTGACTGTATCTTGGGATCCATTCCTCTATGAATGCTGATCTTGCCTTTAACAGCCTAATTACCCATTTGCATTGTGAATTAGCATTTTCAAAAGCCAAAAATTCAACTATTATTTGTCAAGTTTCTGAATTTGGTATCATTCTATTTATAGCTGAAGTCAATCTTTGTAAAAAAAAAAAATCAGTGAAGGGCCCTGTATAACTTTACTAAATCACTCAGTTCTCTTTCCAAGTTCTTCAATTCTGTCCCAAGCATTCAAAGCTGCTGCATGGCATAGAGCCAGGGTGTGGTCATCATATAGAGACTGTCTTTGGTCTTGGGAGATTTCAATACCTCTAGCCCTGCTTCACTGTTCAATGGTCCTGGCCTCATCTTTCCAGCAGGTCCTCCACTGTAATTGAGGACCAGGTTCCAATACTGCTGTAACCAAGTCTCTCCAGTCTTGTGGGGCAATTCTGTTACTAGTTGACCATGAAGTTAACATCTGCCTCACAAAAGGTGAATGCATACCATATGAGACTATCGCTTCCTTAATTTTCTCAAATCTAACATTTCCATAGTAATCTAGTCAGCTCTTGCATAGCGTTGTGGATATCTGTCATTTGGCAGTTGTTCCTGTAATGTGTCTGGATAAATTAAGGTTGGTTGTTTGAAAACCTTGTGCTGTTCCTAATTTTATGGTATAATGGTAAGGTTGGTTCTCCTTTAAATTCCTCTGTCTCGGACTGAATATCTCTATGATCTGTTTTAATAAGTTTCTCTAAGGCTTGTATCTTGGTACAGCTATCAACCAAGTTTTTTTTAAGAGATAAACCAAGAGTTATTGAACTGATAATAAGAATTGTCAAAATGATAATTAACATTATGTGAATCCCAGTTGATTATCCCTTCATTTAATTGTTCCATTTTTAAACCATGCATTGCATAATCTTACAGAGAAATGACTCCCTCCATTGTAATAGTGTTTCCCATTTTTTTAAAGATTTATTTATTTATTATGTATACAATATTCTGCCTGCATGTATCCCTGCAGGCCGGAAGAGGACGCCAGATCTCATTACAGATGGTTGTGAGCCACCATGTGGTTGCTGGGAATTGAACTCAGGACCTTTGGATGAACAAGCAGTGCTTTTAACCTCTGAGCCATCTCTCCAGCCCCCCCCCCCCATTTTTTTTAATGTGGGAAAAATTTCTCCCTTTTTTTAAAAAAAACTAATTCCCCCCTTTAAGAATTCCCAACTGTGTCACCAAATCTGCTGCTGCTGACGGTGAAGTTGACAGTGAAGTCCAAGGCTGACTGCTGCTGCACAGAATGGTAGACGCCTGAGCAGGTGTCAAGGCAGCTACCTAGTGTGGCAGTATCCAGAGGAGGGGATCCAGGGAAAGCCCACAACCCACTGGGAGAGGGAGCTGACTGGCTGAAAAATGCAGAGGGTTGTGGGGAAGAAGCAGGTGTGGCAGAAGTTGCCTGAAGGCAGAGCTGGCCAGTGGTTTAAGGGGCTAACTCTGGCAGTGTTTAGAACCCAAGCCCTGGCAGTGTTTAGAACCCAAGCCCTGCGGAGTTTGCTGCAACAGAAAAACACCAAACTTGATCAGGAGGCCTGAGGAAAAAAGAAAGGAAAACCTAGCTGTCCAGGCGGTGACTCCAGCGGGAGCCCCCACATGCAGGTCCGGCGTGTGCTGGTGGCTACAAAGCCACAGGCAAGCAGCTTTTTGGCAAATTCATGCCTCATGAAGTGTGATCCTAATTAGCCTTATTAATAAAAACCAAGAGTCAGATATTGGGGTAAATGCTGAAAGATCAGAGAAGCAGAGCAGCAGCCACTAGAGACTTCTTACCTCTACAAATCCTCAGACCAAATGGGGGGCTGAGATCCTGTCTCTACCCACCTTATATTCCTGTCTCCACCTCTCGATTGTGCTGGGATTAAAGGTGTGAGCCTCCCAAGTGCTGGGATCAAGGTGCGAGTCACCACCACCTGGCCTCCATGGTTAACTAGTGGCTAACTCCACCCTCTGATCTCCAGGCAAGCTTTATTTGTCAGGACACAAACAAAATATCACACAAAAATCCTCCCCTCCTCCTTTTCTTACTCTTCTCTCTTCTCTATTCTCTCTGCCTGCCAACCTTACCTATTTCTCTCTCTCCTGTCATTCAGCTCTTTATTAGAATAATCAGGTGTTTCAGGCAAGCAAAGTAACACAGCTTCACAGAGTTA